TCCGTACAGTTAAAAAATAAAACACTAATTATAATGGCATATATATAAAACTTTGTCCTATAATTGAATAGCTGCTTTTTCTGATTTTATGTTGCTCTGTTCTGAATACCTTAAGATGTAAAGGATTTGCTGCAAAGCAATTTTGTATGATATGTTAATTATTTATATTTTTTATCCATGCAGCAAATGCTTTAAAAAACAGCTTTAAATTTACTTTATTGCATTCCAGACGCTTTTAAAGTACTTTTTACAATAAATTTTACGGGTAGCTTGAATGTAAACATTGTAATGAATTCGTTGTATTCCCATTTGTAAAATAGCCAACAAATGAATTGTTGTAGGCTAACCCGGTCTCATGAAAGTGCGTATAGCGTGATTTTCTGCTTCTATTTGGCGTAATATTTCTATGCCGAAATGTACTTTGACATGCAAAAGACTGATAAATTCATAATTAACGGCATGGGTTCAGTCGACAGAAATACGGGACACACAGGCCTATAATAACTGCTGAAATGTTTGCGGAGCAAATCTCAGATCAGTCTAAGCACTCATGGTACTCACAGTGCGTACAGCCGTACACCTGCAGGCGCCACAGACTGGGACGGTTGTCGTGGAAATAAACACCGTAAACAGCAACTGTTCACGTGTCCGCACTTAATGCGCATATCCTATATGAAAAGCATTTTAGGGGGCCCTTGGCTTTTGGGGGCCCAAGGCGGTCGCCTACCTTTGCCTAATGGGTAAGTCCGCCCCTGCTTGTGTCACGGCTGACACAGAATAGAGTATGCTGCTTGCGTTCAGCGGATATTCTCCAAAATGGCACTACAGTGATGCGGAGAGACACAGAGGAGACGAATTGTTATATAAAGTCGTTATTTTTGTTTTCTTCGCGTACAAAAAGTATTCTCGTTGCTTCATAACGTTACGGTTGAACCACTGATGGCAGATGGACTATTCTGATTATGTTTTTCATACATTTCTGGACCTTGACAGTGTAATTTACTTGGCAGTCAATCGGACAGTCATTAAGTGATTAATGACAACATTTTCATTTTGGGGTAAAATATCCCTTTAAGGTATTGCTTTTTGGTAGAGTGAAATGACAACATCAGTCTCTCTTTTGTGGCACTTATTTTAAGGAGGTCTATAGAACACATGGAGAAAGACATTTGTTTGCAACACATCCATTTAACAGATCCTTCTGAATGGCCATCAAAGCAGAAAGATGCCTTTTGCTGCCAGATGGTGTACTTACAACATCTCCTGCAGGATCTAATGAGGTTATGCCCCAACAAAACCTTGACTCCTTGGCCTCATTGGAAACATTTTGTACACTAAGAACATAGATTTGGAAATTCACAAAGCAATTTATATAAAATAATTTTTACAAGCTCTTATTTATTTTCCACGAGTAAGTAAGGAAATTTGTTGAAGGTCAAAGAAAACCCCTGCAATAAAAATCACATCACTGCTTTGGCGGAATATTAATGAATATAGTTGCCTTCCAGGCAGTTGACGTGGATTTGATTTCTTGATCAGCGCATTGATTTTGGGTCTGCTTTTGAGTTAATCTTCTTGTACCTGTACAGTGACTATAAAGAACTTGACTGGAATATTTACACACCCTTCAAAAATTTGAGGTTGGTAAGTTTTTTTTTTAATGGTTTTGAAAGAAGTATCTTATGCTGACCAAGCCTGCATTTATTTGATCAAAGATACAGTAAAACTGTAATATTGTGAAATATTATTGCAAATTAATATAACTGTTTTCTATTTTAATATATTTTACAACGTAATTTATTGCTGTGATGGCAAAGGTGAATTTTCAGCATTATTACGCCAGTTTTCAGCATCACATGATCCTTCAGAAATCATTCTAATATGCTGA